GCGCACACTTCCCGGAAGCGGGGGGCGGGCCCGCGGCGCCAGGACCCACGGCGCCTGCCGGGAGCCACGTCTCCGCCGGCCCCGATTGGCGTGCGCCGGCGACCGGGGGCTTCTGGGAAGATGGCGGACCCGGTGGCCCGCCGATGAGAAGGCCGTGGGGGAAGCCTGGCTCCCGGGCCCGGAGACCGGCTGCGGGAGTGACCTGCGCGGGGCCTGGGGAGTCATGTAGGGTGGCGCCTGCAGGGCGGGCGGCGGGCGGCTGGCGGGAGCTGGTGTTAGCGGCGGTGGCCAAGGTTCAGGCGTCCCCGGGCTGGGGTGGGCTGGGGCCGCGGACATCGCGGACTCCGTGCCTTCGCAGCGCTGCGCGCTCGGGCCCCGCGTGCGTCCCGCGGGGTAGGCGCCGAGTTTTCGTTTCACTGGGGTGGAGCCTTAGGCAGAGGTGAAGCCACTTGTCCCAAGGTCACGCAGCTGGTAAGTGGGAGCGCCCAGCATGGAAGCCGGGACCCGCCTGGCTGCGGATCCTCCCTCATGCCGCTCTCCGTGCCACCACCGCCTCCTGCAGGAGGGGAGGTGCTCGGATGGCGGGTCCTCGGGGCCACCCGGGCCCCGGGCTGGGCGCGACCACTAACTCCTTGAGTGACCTCAGGTTCTTCTTAATCTCTTGCCGCTCTGGGCCTTGTTGTCTCCACCCGTGAAATGAGGTAATGCCAGCCCTGCGACTCCTCGGAGTGCACGGAGCTCCAGAGACAATAATGCATGTGCATTGCTTTGAGCCCGGAAGGAGAACTGCAGTTTCTAGGAGTGGAAGGGGGAAGAGCGGGCGGGATGGGAGTAGGACCAGAGTAGTCCCGGGAGGTTACTCTGACCCCAAGCCCTACCTGATGGGGAGTGCGGTAAGGCTTGGCTAGCAAAGGTTGCTCCCTGTGGAAGAAACCTCACTCCCTTCTCTGGGCTGCCCCTCAGGGTCTCCATCACCCAGCTCCATGCTTCGAGTCCTGCTCTCTGCTCAGGCCTCCCCTGCCCGCTTGTCTGGCCTGCTGCTGATCCCACCAGTACAACCCTGTTGTGTAGGGCCCAGCAAGTGGGGGGAACGGCTCCTTGGAGGAGGTCCCCATGCGGGCCCTGGGCGAGGACTGCAGCGGCTTCTGGAACAGGCGAAGAGTCCTGGAGAGCTGCTGCGCTGGCTGGGTCAGAACCCCACCAAGGTGCATGCCCACCACTACCCTGTGGCGCTCAGGCGGCTGGGCCAGCTCTTGGTGTCTCAGCCTTGGCCCCCTCCTGTGGAGCAGGCCACGCTGCAGGACTTGAGTCAGCTCATCATCCGAAACTGCCCCTCCTTTGACATTCACACCATCCACGTGTGTCTGCACCTAGCAGTCCTACTGGGTGAGGAAAGTGGCTGGGGTGCGGGTGTCTAGGGTAGAGTGCAGAATAGAGTATAGAGCACAGACAGTGTCAGCCTTTCGCCCAGTGAGGGTACATGCCTAGGTACATTTGCTGCTGCCCCTCCACCCACAGCAGAACTATGAATCAAAGTGTCTGTTCCAGCTTCCTAGGGTGCCACCCCTAGTGCCTTCTAACACTGCTCTAGAGTCATGGACTTTCTCACAAGTGGCATGAGGTGACAGCCTGCTTGCCATCTTTGTACAATGCTTTTCCCCACCAAGAACTCGGAACACTTTACGTTCACATGGTGTTTCCGCTTGGATTATAGTACAGTTACCCACTCAGGAAACAGAGAGACGGGGACTCAGCATCCCATGGTTAGCAAGGCACGGCCCAGCCTGCTCACGGGACCACCTTCGGCCTTCTCCCCAGGCTTTCCACCAGATGGGCCCCTGGTGTGCACCCTGGAACGGGAGCAAATGTTCCACCTCTGTCCAAAACCATCTCCACCTCTGCAGCCTGCCCTCCGAGGAGGGCAGAGACTAGAAGCTGCTCTGAGCTGCCCTCAGTTCCTGCGGTACCCACGGCGGCAGCTGATCAGTAGCCTGGCAGGTGCTGGAGGGTTCAACTGGGACGGGCTAAGTTTCCTGGGCTTAGGTGCAGGCTGGCCTGTGAGTCCTGTGTAATAGGCTGTTCTTCACAGAGGTGAGGCCTGAGGACCTAACACCCCACGCAATGGTGCTCTTGGCCCAGCACTTGGCCCGACACCGGTTGCGGGAGCCCCAGCTTCTGGAAGCCATCGCCCGCTTCCTGGTAGCCCAGGAAAGCCAGCTCAACAGCAAGGTGGGCTTGTCTCCTGCCCTCCTCTGAGTTATCCTCAGTGACCAGGCCGTGCCCAACCTTATCCAGCCTGGCTGGCCTTTCTCCAGGAACAAAGCCCCCAGTTTGAGCTCACAGTCTGTGGCTTTGTCTAACTCCCATACCTAGCATTCCCATAACCTCTGCAGTTTGCCGAAGCACTCAGCACTGTGCTAACCTCACGTCCCACTGCTCAAAGCTTTCATGCCACCACACATAGACAAAATATCCCTCTGCCTGTTCTGGTAATGAGTCACAGGGAGCTGAGGGCACTGATTATACTGTTGAATTTGGGGTTCATGTGCAGGTCCCACCTTGGGCTGAAGCAGCTTGTGGGAGACTTGAGCCACTCCCTGGGGTCATGCTCTGCTCTTCACAGGTGGTGCAGAAGCTGGTCCTACCCTTTGGACGGCTGAACTACCTGCCCCTGGAGCAGCAGTTTATGCCCTGCCTTGAGCGGATCCTGGCACGGGAAGCTGGGGTGGCACCCCTGGCCACAGTCAACATCTTGATGTCACTGTGCCAGCTTCAGTGCCTGCCCTTCAGAGCCCTGCACTTTGTCTTCTCCCCGGGTTTCATCAGTCACGTCAGTGGTAGGCAGTTTGGCTGACTGGAGGGGGTCCAGAAGAGGAGGGCAGGAGTGCCCAGGGCTGGGTTGCCCAGTGGTCTCCAGTCCCTGCTTCCCCACAGGCACCCCTCATGCTATAATTGTGCGACGCTACCTCTCCCTGCTTGACACAGCCGTGGAGCTTGAGCTCCCAGGATACCAGGGCCCCCGCCTTCCCCGGAGACAGCAGGTGCCCATCTTCCCACAGCCTCTCATCACTGACCGTGCCCGCTGCAAGTACAGGTGGGTGGGCAGCCTAGGCTGAAGGGGGCACAGCTGGAGCTGATGTGTTGGGCAGTGGTTAAAGAAAAAGGGTCCCAAGGTAGCAGAGGCAGTGCCCAGGGGGTGGTGTCCAGCAAGGGACAGCTGGAATCCTAGGGCGGCCTCCTAGTGTGCTTTTCCCTCAGTCACAAGGACATAGTAGCTGAAGGGCTGCGGCAGCTGCTGGGGGAGGAGAAGTACCGCCGGGACCTGACCGTGCCTCCGGGCTACTGCACAGGTGAGCCCCAGGTGGGTGGCGCCCTGGAGAGGAGCTCTGCTGAGGTGGTCTCTGTCTCCTGCAGACTTCCTGCTGTGTGTGAGCAACTCCGGCGCTGTGCTCCCGGTGAGGACTCAGGACCCCTTTCTGCCTTACCCACCAAGGTCCTGCCCGCAGGGCCAGGCTGCCTCTGACCCCACAACCCAAAACCCCGCCCAGAGGTAAAGAGACAGGTTGGGCGTGCCCGGGCCGTGGTGTTGCAACAGCGCCTGACCATGCCTGTCCCCACAGGGTGGTGCTGATGTTGCGCGAACGCTGGCATTACTGCCGGGACGGCAGGGTGCTGCTGGGCTCGCGGGCCCTGAGGGAGCGGCACCTGGGCCTCATGGGCTACCAGCTCCTGCCAGTGAGTAGCTCTGCGTGTGTGTACACATGCATGCTCGTTTGGCCTGCAGGTGACCCACTGTCCTCTCCTTGCAGTTATCCTTTGAGGAACTGGAGTTGCAGAGAGGTCTGCCCCAGCTCAAGAGCTACCTGAGGCAGAAGCTCCAGGCCTTGGGCCTCCACTGGGGGCCTGAAGGGGGGTGAGGGGTACACTCGGGGCTTGAGATGGGGGATGGACAGTTTGCACTTATGTTTTGGTTATTCATTAAAGTTCCCTTCCTTGCCCATGGCAACTCTCATTTCTGGGAACAGGGAGCAGAGCTGCCCCCACCACACCCCATTTATTGTACCCACAAAAACAGAGATGGGGGATGGACGGTTTGCACTTATGTTTTGGTTATTCATTAAAGTTCCCTTCCCTGCCCATGGCAACTCTCATTTCTGGGAACAGGGAGCAGAGCTGCCCCCCCCCCCATTTATTGTACCCACAAAAACAGAAAACCAGAGCTAGGTGGAGACCATAGCATTTACTGTGGGGGTGGGGAGAAATGGACTTTAAATTATTCACTTAAATAAAAACAGGGAGGGGGAGGGGAGGCCAATCCCACCAGCCCCCATTCCCTCTGCCCACAGGGCCCTCCCTGCAGGTGGCCACTACACAGGCATGGGCATCTCGTTGTACTCATCCATGCCCTCTCGCTCATCAAACACAGGTTCCGCCTCGTTAGCATCCAGCTGTGGGAGGAAACACAGGCTGGGCCTTTCCAGAGCCACAGGAGAGAAGGCAGGCGCAGGGAGGGTAGCAGGCACTGGGCAGGGGCCTTACGCATTTCATCTCTCGCTCCGTGAAGATGCGGGTGAGCACCACCATGCGCAGCGGCACCGTGAGGATGAGGATGAAGGGGAAGGCCAGGGAGGCCGCTGTGGACATGACGGCCCAGAGCAGGGCCAGGCAGAGCAGCTGCAGGCTCGTGAACAGGTGCATGCGCATCGTGCGGACCTGGGGACAGAGATGAGGTGGGCCTGGGCTCTGCGCCAGCGGGCCACATCTGGGGATGGAACAGCC